TTTTTTTTTTTTTTTTGCCAGGGCTACTTAGTTAAATTGTGTTTTGAATGTGAAGAAAATTTCAAAACAGACAGTGGAATGTCTACTGTCAAAGCTCTAAAAAACTAAAAATAATGTTGTTTTACATTAAACTACCACCTGTTGGTTTAATGTCTGTTCAAATATGCATTAAAACCAACAGAATCCAGAGGCAGAACAGATTTTGTGCAAATGAATTTAGAAGGGTGTTCTGTGAGAACAGCACAGCAGATTGTGGGATTTTGTCTACAGTCACCCAGGCTCTGCATGACTTGATCTTCTTCCATCAGGAAAACAATTCAGGAATATAATATCCGACATGAACAAGCAGACGCAGAAACAGTTTCTGTCCCAGAGCTGTGAAGAAAATCTCCCCCTGCAGGCAGACACTAACCCCCATCCTAAAGTTCAATTAAACCTCCAGCGTATGGGCTCTATGCATAACTCCACTACTTACTGAACTTAAGGCAGTTCCTTTGTTTCCAGTCTTTTTCTAGAGGATGAACTGATTAATCCAGGTTTGCCCGACATCAGTAACCAGCCAGACACAGAAAAATGTCATCATGGTGACAATGACAATAAAGACTGTTGTTTCTACTTGATCTTTTGTTCTCAACGGAATTTGAAATCATTTCCAATAAAATACGGTCAGTGCTGCTATGATTTATGAAACTAAAGTAGAACCAAAATGGGAAAAAAGATACAGGTGAAAAATAAACCTTTCAACTGGAGAGCTTACAGTACAGAACCCTCAGTCTTTGAATGGTACCCTGATTACATCATTCCCAAATATTTATGTATACACATGCATATTTTTTTCCTGTGCGGGCAGTGCTTTTATTTTATTTTATTTACTTTTATTTATTTTAGTTGTTTTATCTTGTTTGTGAAGCACTTTGGAAACCTTGGGTTTATTGAAATCGTGCTATATAAATAAAGTGGATTGGATTGGATATTCCCTCAACCATGGTTCTTCACCCAAACCACGAATATTGTATATTTATAAATAAAAAAAAAATGAAGGAATTTACATTTATATTTAGGGATTTGTCTGTAAAACCACATTTATCTCCAACGACAGAAACAGATTTTTCGGGGGCTACATTAAAATCAAGAAAAGAACATTTTTGGTAGATAATGGGTAGATGCATAATCAGAAGAAAATAAATGCCATAGAGCAGAGAGTGTAGATTTGGGTGTTTCAGATCAACACTTTGTTCAGAGACGAAGGCTCCCTCTTCATTTTGAACTCCTGTTCTACCATCTTAAGTCTACTCTAAAGGTTACGGCGTCATTTGCAGTCAGCATCATTTCGAGAGGGTCTGCCACTTACCCACAGCTTTGAGGGAGGTGTATTTGTTGAGTCCCAGTGTGCTGTGGTTACTATGCGGCTGAGGAAGCCCTTGTCCGGCTGCGCCATAGGCTGCATTATTCAGTTGGTACTGTTCTGGTAAGAGAGACACAAAAACAAAAACATCAAATAACATATTCTGATAAAAAAGTAAAAAAGGATGAGCTTTCTGAGGCCTTCCTCCGCTTCTTTCTGCAGCAACTATCTATCATTGATAAAGTTTACATAGATAAAATGTTTACCATCTAATGTTGAATATTCAGCCTTGAAATAAGAGCAATTCTTGCAATTTAATTAAAGTCCCTCAAGTTGATGTCCTTAAAAAAATGCAACAAAAACATTTGTAATACTTCTAGGCGTAGAAATCAGTTACAATTGAATTGCTCTTTCTGGAAAATAAAGTATTTCAATTCAGTTGTATCGATCCACAGATATAATTGAAAAGAACAAAAAAGGTCACAAATCAAATCGATGTGAGTCAAATTCAAAGTCTCAAAAAACTACTGTTATTGTCTTTGAACCTGTCATGCTGTTAACATGGAAATTAAATACATAAAAAAAATTAAAATTAAAGACCTTTGAAAATGCAGAAAAAGCTAATAACTGACTAAAAATATTAATGAGCTCATTACAGTTTGCTTTTGTAAAATCTCTCAAGATAAGGCCTGGCCTTAACAAACCAATTCCACTTTAGACTTATTACTTTATCCAGCTCTCTGCCCACATGCACCATGCAAAAAAATATTGGACTTTTGAAAAATCAAAGTAGCTATAATAACATATATAAAATAAAAACTTATAAAGCATATTATTAGATATAGACAATGCAAAAGTATTTACTTGAGAAAAAGAAGTCCCTCCTCCTCCATGAGTTCAGTTTGTAACTAAGTAGTGAAAGCAGCTAAACTACAGGTAATACTTCAGCAAAGTCATGATGCAATGAAAACATAGAACAAAAAACCTTGCAGTTAGGGCTGTCAAAGTTAACATGCTAATGCACATTAATGCAACTGTATCTTAATGGCATAAAAAAATGTTTAAACACAATAAATGCGCAAACACTTTCAGCTGCTCATACCATTTTTTTTTAAAACTTCAGGAGAAAGTTTTTCTTTGTTTTGCTGCTGTAAACAAAAAAAAGCAAAGTAAGATTTTACATGCCGTTAACCCCTATTGAAGCAATGCTAATTTAATTATTGAAATACAAATAAAAATTATATATCAAAAGCAACACAGACATGTTAAATGGTCCCATTTTGAGCCCTCACAAAGCAAAGGCAGTTAAAAAGGTGTGGAAATAAAGAGAAACTAAATGAAATATACGTATTATTATCTTTTATTTGCAGGTGGGGGGAAACACAGAGTCAGTTTTCATGTACCCAGGGCCCCTAAATCGCTAGCAACACCCCTGAATTTATATTTTGCCTGAATATAGTCAGGTAATAGTCATAAGCACTATTTCAGTGTCAGGTTCCCCATTAGATGCTCTAATGAGAGCTTAGTAGACCTCTGTTTCCATCCTTCCAATCTTTTAGAGCCAGACCAGCTGTAAAGTGTGGAGAGGTCAAGGGGTCTGTGTAGCAGAAGTGATGGTACTTTGTGTCGTTGCATACCTGCCTTCTTAAAGCACTGCTCAAGACACTTTCTAAATACACAAAAAGACTTATTATTTTTACATTCAAGTTAGATCGTAGTAT